TAAAATTCACGAACCATCATTGCTAATGATCTTTTACTATTAATATGCATCATCCGATTGATACTGTTTTACAAAGTTATGCACTGTTTGAAAAGAGCTGTAAAGAACATTTCAGTACAATTTTGTTGGGCGGATACTTGGTCCACGTGGAATGACAGCAAAACAACTTGAACAAGAAACGGGTTGTAAAATAATGGTACGAGGTAAAGGATCAATGCGTGATAAAGCCAAAGTGAGTACGAAAAATTTATTTATCAATATTCTACTGCAAAAGTTTGCGCTTCATTTCAAGGCTGTCTCAAAATAAGCCAATCAAAATTGAATGAGCATTTTTGTCATTTTTGTGCTAGCAATCCAATATCGAAAATGATGCATGTCAGTTGTTTGTACTACTCATATGGTAATGTTGTGAACAGAACTATCGATGAATGTTTCCCATCAATCGCATCTTACTGATGAATAATTACCTTATATGAAATACAAACGATCGTTAGCTGAATCCAGTTTGATTTTTAGGAAGAGGCGAACAGAGGAAAACCAAACTGGGAGCATCTATCCGAAGATTTGCATGTGTTGATCCAATGTGAAGACACACCGAATCGTGCAGTTATCAAACTGAAGCGTGCATCGGCTGAAGTCAAAAAACTTCTCGTACCATCAGTTAGTCATCCTTCTGTTTTCTTTTTGGACACCTTTTCAATCTTCTTCCTACCAGAACACTTTTAAATGAAGAAATTAATCCTCCTGATCTCATCAAATTATCTTCTATTGTTATTCGCATTATCTTCATTCAGCATATTTATTCACTCAAAATATCTTCATTCAGTATATGAAACTCTCACTTTCACTGTATTTTCTCACCACTGATTTGAAGGGTCAATTCATACTCACCTAGATGTTATTCAGTTCAGTCAATGATTTCTTGTATTCATCAGTCTATTTGACAATAGTACTTTGCCTTGAAAACATTGACGTTGTTTCTCTATCGATATTCTGGTCTCGTTCAATCCGATTCCAAACTAACAACATTTCATTTGAGGTTTAAGATGGTAGGCAGGGAAATAAGTGAATGAATGAATAAATTTTAGTCGGAAGATGACGAATTGAAGAAGAAACAGTTAATGGAATTGGCGATTATCAATGGCACATATCGATCTGGAACTGTTGTCAGTCAAGCGCAAGCCGCACAAGCGGCAGCTGCAGTCGCAACGAAAAGCTCGTTAGCTGCATTACAAGCACGCTTGATGGCTCCAATGCCACTCGCTCAGGTTTAACATTAATTCATTTCATATTCTCATTCATCTTATCTTCATCATTCATAATAGATGCATCGATAATTTTTTATTTCCCTTTATAATCATGTAAAATTGTATGAATATGAATCGAATATTGCACATTTAATCGAATTTCAGTCGGCAGCAAGCTTGCGATCACCTACTTTGGCTGGTGCACCAATAATTTTATCACCGTCGCGCAATGCGACAAATAGCAGTCAAAATGCGGCAGCAGCATTCGCTGCGCAACTGCAAGCGGTTGCCAACCAGCAACAGCAGAATGCGGCCGCGGCTGCAGCGTTCTCACAACAAGCAGCCGCTGCGGCAAATCCGGCGGCCGTCGCGGCTGCTGCAGCAGCCGGTATCCCTGCACATCTCTTACACCCTCAATCAATTGCTCAAAACGAGTACGGACAATTCTATATCAAGTATGTTTTTGTGAAGTTAGTCACTTTTAGTTGTAGTTGATTTGCTGCGATTAGAGAAGTGACTTTGAAACGATTTCGTTGTTGATTGCTGTCACTTGATTCAGTCACATTTTTCGAATTTCACTCATCATTCTATGATAGCACTGCAACCTACAGTAATTGATTATAAGTTTGTTTGATGTGTTTTTTGAATTCGATTCGAATTATTCATAACTATTGACGGGAGATGGAGTAATTGAATAAAAGTTTGAAAATTGTTTACTAAAGCTCGATGTCGTACGACCCAACAACACAAACAACTGCCTATGCGGTACCAGTAAGCAGTGCAAGTGCGGCAGCTTCCCTTCAAGCAGCCCAACAGCAACAGTATGCTGCGGCGGCTGCCGCTATGCTAGGCGCTTCACCGTACCTTAGCGACTATTCGGCTGCTGCAGCTGTGGATCTGTCACATGCTGGTCAGTTAATCGTTAGCCATTAATTGTCATTTGTTAGAGTTTGATATATTTTCTGCTGATCACCTCTCGATTTTCTCATTTCATTTTCTTCCTTCATTTTAGTTTCCTCCTGAAATCTCCATCTTGTGTCCACATTCCTAAGTAAAATATTCTAGAAGCACTTGGAAATGATTCCAAGATTTTATATTACTTAGCATTTAGTAATACTTATTGCTGACAGTTTGATGGACGAATAAGACATTTCCATGTCGGTTTTAATTATAAGTCATCACTGCATTAATTTTAAGAATCCAATACAGCGATAGTATTTTTCAGATATCTTCTTTTCACATATTCTGTGCACAAATTGAGAGCTCATTCAGAATTTCTGCAATTCACGCTATCAGTTTTTGCTTAACTACTCTGAATCTTGTATTTACAGTAAGATATTTCACAGTGAGTCAGTTGATTGAACAGGTTTTACTGCTTTGTAAAATCGTCATTAATTTATGAATCCGAATTGGGTTTATGCTGAATGAATGAATGAAATTTGAACGTAAAGTGAAAAATAAATGAAGTGTAAGCTCAAGAGAAACATCCTCTTCTATAGTCACTTGTCTTATTTGTGAATTTATGCGCAATCAGTCTTTCATATCAGCAATCCGTGCTTGTAGTTAGACACTTATCGTTTTGTAATTTCGTTGTAATGCTTTTATCATGTGCACTCCAGTATCAGTTATTAAATTGTTCTATTGCTATTGTCATCAATTTTATCATTATTATTCAAAGTTATCCCACTGAATTCTTTATTC